TCTTAAGAACCCAAATCCAGTCTATATTAAATTGCTTGTTAATCTTACATTAAAATGATTGGCCAGAGCAGCAAAATGCCTGAGTATGTGTTTGTTTGCATGCAAATGAGATGGAGCTCAAAAGAGAGGGAATGTTTATCTTGCTAAATAAATTATACTAATAGGATTAATAATTATAACCTAAATATTCAAAAGACAGGTTAGTGAACCACATATATCAGAGCCTATTGGTTCTGTATCACTTCTTTTAAGGGTAAACGACTTCATATGAATCCTAGTGAGAATATAGTCTTTTTGCTGCTGATTGCCACATAATGATAAACTTATACCTACTAGCCCTATAAGATTCAAATGAAGAGAGGGACAAGAATTTAGAAAATAAAAACAAATCTTCATTTCTAAAAACTTTTAAAAGAGCCTTTACTAGATGACTTGAAAGACACATAGGTTTAAAAACTTTTAAAAATGTATTAGGCTGTAAAATAAATATGAAATTTCAATTGCTGCTTTTATCTCATATACTCTTTACTTACGATAGTATAGGTGTATGCTTGGTGGCTTTGCGATTTGTTGACTTGTATCTCCTGGAATTCCCTTTTCTGTCTGTTTTGGTTAGAGTGGGCCACAAAAGAGATTTTTTGGGAGATTTGCAGAAGTGAAGCAACAGACATCTTGTAGCTCTCATGTGTATTGTGGCTTATCCGCTAGCTCACCTCAACTGGCATGAGGCAGCAGCGGGGCCTGCAACTGCCCATCTTCTGTTGCATCCGTGTTTCAGCTCTATGACTCTGGAGTCATGCATGTGTGTGTAACTCTGTAAGGAAGGACCCTGGCTTTGCAGAACATCCACACTATCAAAGTCAGAGGCAGCGAGCGCTCACTTGGGTTTCAGGTTGTCCTCATGAACTATGGCTTCTGTGTTCCAGCTTGGCATGAATCTCCACCATCTTCCCTTCCTGACTTTGCTCTGTGGGCTTCAAGCTCCAGCATCAGTTTAACCACCTTCCACAATTGTGTAGGGTGAAATCTCTGTACCAAATTCCTTTATATTATATCACTCTGTATTTCTATCTCCATTCTAATGGTTTTGATTCTCTGATTGAACACTGGTAGAGACTGGGATAGTGACGGTATAAAATGAAAAGCAGGTTGAGAAATCTATGCAAATGAAAATATAGGCTACTTTTCATGGGAAAAGAAGGGTGAATCAGAGGGCAGAACCGAGATCCATGGAGAAGTTATTTCAGGTGGGAGTAAAACTGTGTTCTAATCAAGGAACATTTTACATTTTCCTGGTTGGATTTCAGAATTGCTATGAACCATTGATCTCTGTATACTCTTATTGTCCTTGTCCCTTTGGAGCAGGAATGTCTACAATGGTTATTGTATGCGTATCCCACCATTGCATGTTATGTGGGGAGCAGAGAACTTGTCTTTACTTCATACGTCTTCAGATCAAGAGAACTGTACTCAAGGAGTGTATAATATTTAAGAAGCATCATCCACACCTGGACTTGATTTATATGAGATTCTGGACTTTGAGCTGATGAGACTTTGCAGGTGGCTTTGGGAGGGGATGGATGTGTTTTGCACTGGGAGAGATGTGAATCATTGGGGGCCAGAGGACTGACTGTGGTAGTCAGCTTTCAGTATGGCCCCAGTGATTCTTACCTCCTGGTATTCACAGCCTTATGTAGCCCCTTCCCTCTATATACCAGGTTTGTGCGACCAATAGGATATGGCAGCAGTAAAGTTATGCCACTTCTGATATCGTCATAAAGACATTGCAGCTTCTGTCTTGGTTGTGCTATCTTTGGATCACTTGCTCTGAGGGAAGCCCGTTGTCGTGTTAAGAGGACACTCACACAGCCCTGTGGAGAAGCTGATGTACTGAGGGACTGTGGCCTTTTGCCAACAGCCAAAGAGGAATGGAGGACTCCCAACAACAGTCTTGCAGGTGAGCTTTCTTCAAAGCTGATCCTCTCGCTAAGTCTTCTGTTGACTGTAACCCAGCCTACAGCTTGACTGTAACCTCATAGGAGGAGACCCTGTGCCTGAACCATCCAGCTCATCTGCTCACGGATTCCTGACCATCAGAAACGGAATGAAATACAAAGTGTTTGTTTCAAGCTAACTTTTGTTATGCAGCAAAAGGTAACTAATGCAATACCTAAGTATTTCTTCCACATGCCTATGAAGGCCAAACAAAAGGAAAATAAATAGAGGCTCACCATTTTCCTTCTATGCTCATTTATATATTTTTAAACCTAGGCCTGTGGGCAAATATTTTTTCAGCTAAGCTAAATTTGAAAGCTGTAAGGAAGGGGGTTAGCTTTAATTATAGGGAGGTATATAGTCATAAGCTGTATAACAACATTTTGGTCAGTGATGGACTGCTTATAACCTAGTGTAGTAGTCTGTACCATCTAGGTTTGTATAAGTACACTCTACGTTTGCACAACAAAAAGATTATATTGCCTACCAACCCATTTCTCAGACTGTATCCCTGCTGTTAGGTGGCACATGACTGTAAATATACTTTCTTTGAACTGGAGGATTTGCTTTTGAGAAGACAGATCATGAGATTTTCCCAGAGTTCAGTCTCTTTTTTTGCAGAAGGGTAGTACAGCTGCCACTTCTCTCGGGTTGAGATTTAAAGTTTCATTTATTATTCATTTTTACCTAATATGACTGGTTTAAAGAATGTAAAGTGTGATTTGATTTCTTTCCTAGATTTTGTTATGGAAACAAGGGAAATAAGAATATATTTCTTCTAGCCTCTGTTTATTTATCTTTCTGTCTTATAATCAATTTCAGTAACTTTAACAATAAACAGTAAAAATGATAGAGTACATAAAGCACTGCCCAAGTGAATCCATCATAAACCTGTGTCTGAGAATGGTTTCCTAAATAGGGGAAATGTGTTTCATACAAAAAGTCCATTTTCTGTTATTGCCTTTTTTATTTGGACTACTAGATGCTATATATTTTAAGGCAATCTTAATAGTTTCCTGTCTCTCAGTAACAAGAATGACTTGTCATAATGAGCAGTGTAGACACTGTCCATTTGATCTACTCCAGAAAGCTGTCTATTTGATACAAGAGTAAATCACCTCAATTCCTTTGTGGAATGAGTGGAGTATAAATAAATAAATATGACACAAGAATAAAAAAAATCTGGTCAATTCCAGCAGAAGGAAACAAAGGATAGGAACATTTGGAGGCCTGGTTTTATTAAAAAAAATGCGACAGGAGAAAGAATTATATGTGATAACAGTAAAGGGAGGAAGAATCCTCACTAATATAAAATGTCCATGAAATAGTTTCTTCCTTCTTTAGGAAGGAAGATAATTTTATAGTTTAAGAATAATAATTCTCAATTTTTTGAAGTTGGAAGACCTATGATGTAAAATGACTATTCACTTTTACCTTCATGGAAAAGAATTATACTTTTCAGAATTCTTTCTATAATTCATCACATTTCTAAATCTGAGTAGGGTTTTCAGATTCCATTTTAGGAAATGGGTTTGTTTTGGGAGGTGTCTTTTTTTGTTGTTATTTTGAATGTTTTACTTCAATTGTAAATTTTTTGTTTTGGGAAGACTCCAAAATGTCCCAATTTCCCCGTTTACAATTAGTGTGTGGTGTACCTCTTAGAGAATTATACAAAAATATCATTGCATTTGACTACTTATTTATTTTTTATTTTTTTTTCTATTAGTAAGGTTCTTTTGTACGAAATATCAGTAGAGCCATTTTTCTATGTCAGGTTTTGGGCTCCAGGTGGGGATGTAAGTTATGGCAAATTTTGTGCCCTATTGGAGCTGGAAAGTAGGGAAATGATTCTCAAAATCAAATCTCAGGATGTCTAGCATCAGAACCTCCTACAAGGCTTGTTTACAATAAAATAATCAGGTCCCACCTCAACTAACTGAATCTCTGGGAGTGGGGCTTGAGAATCTGCACTGTAATAGATTCCCTCTGTGGTTTTAAGGCCAACTAAAGTTAAAGGGCTATTGATCTAGTGAGGGTTGGAGGGTAGAGGAAAAACAATTTACATTGCCATTGGAGCCACAATACAATCTTCAAAACACAGTAGTAACATCTAGGAAAGAGTTTTGCTATGGCAGTTCCTATCGGAAGAAATGTAAATGTATATATATTACACACACACACACACACACACACACACACACACACACACACACACACGGCACCAGAACGTGGCTTTTTGGGTTTTAGAGAAAACCTGTAATAGGATATAAAGACAGAAGACAATAAATACTTGTTGACTAAACAATCAGGTTGGAGTGAACAGATTTTTATAATTCCCTTCTACTAAATTACCGTCAATTGGACGCTTATAGATGGATAGTGGTATCTGTTTATTCAGCTTTCTATATATTTTTTAACTCCAAAGGATAGGGACTAGAACTTCCCACTCTTAGTTTGCCGTGGGGAAAATCAGCCCCCCCCCCGCCCCCCGCCGAGAATTGGAATTAGGTGAAAAATAATGTAAGCCAATCAGAACGCTCTTCTCAGGGAGGATTGGCGGAAGACGGGACTTCGTTACCTTCATTCACTCGGACAAAGGAGGCCATAATAGTTTAGGGTGGACGAAAATTCCTGTGGGTTACCAGGCGAGGTGTTAAACCTCAGCGACGCTGACCGTTGGCCAGAAGATCTCTTAATCGGAAAACCTGAAGGCACTACGGATACCATATTTTCCGAGATCCTAGAGAAATGGTCAGCGCTTTCGCTGGTACCAGTAACCAAAATGGCAGCAAGGCGCTTCAGGCGCCGGGTCAGGTGACGCAGCCCAGTCAGCTCCCTTCCCACCGGCCGCCCCTCCTCCCGCTCCCTGACGTAGGGGTGGGCGGTGCCTGTCCAGAGGCGTTTTTCGGAGCTTTAGAAAACCAAGGGAGACACATGCGCAGTTGGGCTCCTCAGGCCTTCGGGTCTTCGCCCCGCCCATCGCCCCGCCCCGACCTGCCGGGAGGGGTTGGGCCGAGAGTCCAGCAGCCGCAGGCTGGGGATTCAGTGACTTCCTTGTTGTGAGCCCCGGCCCGGCAGTGTCCGGCATCGTGGCCCCGCAGTGCTTACCGGGACCGCTAGCCAGAGTCTAGGTCGCAGCCGCAACCCCAGCCCGTCGGTTACCCTTTCAGCACAGGTCCTTTCCCCGCACGCCCCGCGCTCCCTAATATGCCCAACCCCAGCAGTACCTCCTCTCCCTATACCCTCCCTGAGGAAATTAGGAACCTGTTGGCAGGTAACGAGCGGGAAGGGGGCGGGTAACGCGGTGGGGGCGGGGGCGAGCCGAAGGGGACAGAAGCCTTCAGAGTCTGTACCCTCCCATCCCGCGCTCCCCACGTCTCCTGGCCAGTGGGACTGGGAGTGGGGAGAGGGGTCTGAGAAAGGGGGTGGGCATGTGTGTTGAATTTTGGTGCCAGGAGTACAGAAGCCTATTCTGCACGCACTGTAAAGACGCCGTGTGTGTGTGTGTGTGTGTGTGTGTGTGTGTGTGTGTGAGAGAGAGAGAGAGAGAGAGAGAGAGAGAGAGAGAGAGAGAGAGGGAGGGGGGGAGGGAGAGAGAGAAGGAAAAGGAGAGAGCGCATAAATGATAAGTGATTAAGTGTGAGAACTGGGAAGGGATCAGTAATCAAAGAAGTAGTTCTTTGCTGGCCTGGCCAATGGAGAAGGGTGTATAGATGCAAAGAGATGTCTGAGCTACAGGTGTTAGGGGTTATGGGATGGAAGGGCTTGTCGTTTCTAAAACTCCCATTTTTCTTGAACATTCAGTCCACCTATATTTAAGACTTGGAAGAGGGTCTGATTCTCAAATGGCCACTTTGTCTTCAGCCTAAGTAACATATTAAAAAGGAAGGATGTGTTCAAGTCCAACTTCCTGTGTCACACGATGACAATACTTCATCTTTGCACCCTCATCTTCCCCTTTTTCAGTTTGAAGTTACCATTTATAGGAACTTACTTTAGGAGTTCCAGATGCGCTTAGTCAGTGCTATGAACTGGATGTGGAGATGTGTATTTTCACTAAGGGCCACTGGAAATTTTATATTTCTACATAAGGTAGAAAATAGCCTTAACCTATCCTGATGCTCTGGAATTCTTGCCATTATCCATTTTTTTCATGCATACATCAGAATTCTGGAAACTGAATTTTGATAGTTTTACCTTTAGTTTAGTTGTCTCTTAAGTATTTATCTTTCAATATTGGTCATGAATACCTGCATTAAAAAGGTTCCCCTTAGATGCCTATGTTAAGTTGCTTATTTTAACTTTGGAAAAGCAATTTCTAAAGTGTGACGTTCTAAATAGTATGTTAGTGTTATAGCGTGAGACGAAATCTAACATGCTGTTATTACTGTTTTGGTGGTTAGCTTCATGAATGTGGTAGAGAAAATAAAATCGATAGTGTATGGATGCAGACTTATGCTGTGTGAACATGATTACAGTGTGATGAATGCATTTGTGGTTGGGATAGTATTTTACTCTAAGAAATGTTTGTTGTCATGAATGGATACCCCTGAGGGAAGTATTGAAAGAACTGTGAAGACTGATGTAAGGCAGCTTTCATACCCTTATATGACTTTCACATGAGTACTATTTTGTTTTACGACAGTTAACATTTTTGTTGTTGCAATGCTGGAATTGCTTGTGTGGAGTATTATTTTAGTAACCAGGTCAGAGTAGGGTTTACCATTACCCGATATTCTAAGTCTAGGTCTGAATTGTTTTCCCCCTTTTTTAGGTATGAATTTGTGAATTTAAGAAATAAAGTACAGACCTCTGGGTGCACGCTTGTAAAGCTTGACAGCTCCCACAAGACAGTTTGCTATTTGGAGCCATAATCATACATTTGCAGATAATGTGATGTGTAGGTTATGTGACCCTTTATTCTTGATCCCCAGACATTACAAGTGTTTCATGTGATCCTTGTTTGAGTAATTTAACTGAAAGCTCAGAATGACATAATATTTAAATTATCTGCCATTACTAACTTCCTATATACTTTAGCCATCTCTCTTTAGTCTGATAATGTACTTGCGTAATGTCTGAAACCAACATCTTATTGACATTTCCAATATTTATTTTTTATTAAAGCAAGTCACATATTAAAACAAATGAAATATTAAAAAGAAATATTAAAACATGAAAATTTTGGAGATTATAATAAATTTGGCTTCCACTTTATTTTCAGAGGATATTTTCAAGGGGTATGGCCCTGAGAAAAAAATATTTAAAGCAATGAAACAAGTGAATCACTATTTTTCATTTTTCTTTTTTAACTTATTCAAATGTGGTTAACATTTTATGTTTGTAATTAAAATCGTTTTTTCAGGTATAAGGAAGGTTTCAATATAAAATGCTCTCAGCGGTGTTTTCAAATTTGTCATCCAAAAAATTCTGTTAAGATTGTGCATGAGATTTGCATAATTCTAATGTGTTGGGTAATAGTACATGGTTAGATGTAAAATTACTAAAACTGTATAGAGGGAGAGTTGGTATTGGTTTGAATAGTAGAGATATTGCTGGCTTACCTAGTTCTTTCTTTGAAACTAAGAATGGAGATATTGGTGGTAGTGGTTATAGCTAACAGATGAGTTGAATGCTCTTAAATGCATGGCACTGTGCTAGAATTTCAAGGTAGAGAAGATAAGGAACTAAACTTTTCTGATGTTTAAAATCCCTTGCCTTCAGAAAAAAGAATATAAAGTAAAAAAAAATGCCTTTCAAAGTAATGTTGCTTGGACATTTTTCTATTATTCAAATCATTATATGCTATATGTTCAATGTTTGACATTTCAACTGCTTGATAGAAGTAGGTGTTCAGATGTATTCTTATCAATTTATTATTTTCTTTCTCATTAGTTTTCTTTATGATTATAACAGTTTTAGACTTCCCTTTCAATACTTGTTTCTCCCTCCTTCTCGTTCCTTCCCCCTTTAAAAAAAAACCATTTTACGGAACTACAAAAACCCAGACAGGGTATCATTCTTAACTTACATTTAATGATACTCTTGAAAAAGTGGCTGTGTAGTTTGATTATTAATTGTTTATATTTCTGTGGAATCAGTTTATTAAATCTTGAAAGCCTATACTTTTTATAAAAGTGTTAAATTATTCTTTTGTTTCATGAATAGAAAAAGGGTTACAGATTTTTGTTGTGCAAAGCAAATTTTGAATATTCTGCCACCTGTACTACAGGAAATCTTTAATTTTTTTTTAATAACAATGGAAGAACAGGTTTAGGCTGGATAGTTAGAATTAAAGGATAATCCAAAATCTTGTCCATTTAATCTTTTCCCACATCCAAATATTTTGACTAGGACTAGCAGCAAGAATAATCTTGATTTATGTGAGTTTTTCCTCCAGGCAGTCAAGAAAGTGAGAGGAACTGGAATAACTGCCCCCTCCCTCCACCCCAACCCCCTTCATTTGTTTAATCACCACCCTTTGACTACTGGAGTGTTAGTGGTTTGCAATCAGATGTTCTCATTCATTTGTTTTTGGACAACACATTTAAAAAGGAGAGCTGTACAAAGATGTTAGTTTCTTTCTATTAAATAAGAAAATGAAATGAGTGTTAAAAGAAGAAAATAGTGGGTTATCAGTACTCTGAAAAAGCAAAACCAAACCAAACAAACAATAAACAAAGTGGCTGTATGGTTTCTGCAAAGTGACCTTGAGATTTTGTTCATCCAGCAGCCTTGAATTGAAATATTGCGTTTTCCCCTATTGGGAATTTCCAGAACATTTTTTTTTAACCTTCATGCATTATAATTGATAACCGCTTTAGGGGCATTAGGTAAAGAATACAATTTAATTGAAACAGGCAGAATTTTTTTTTTTTGAATGAGAAGAGTGTGGTTTGATTTCCACCTTTCCTAAGTTGCAGTTATAATTTGGTCAACATGTTGGCTTTATTTTTCCTATGAGTATTATTTATGGTGTATCTAGTGTCCCATAACTTTCTTCCGGGGCATTAGCTGAGTATGTAAAGGGAAGAGTGCCACCTACTGAGTCACCAATAGTCACCTACTTCTTTAGCACCTGGATTTTCCTGTAGAGCAAGAACAAGCCTGCCCCATTTTGGCAGTAATAACTAATGAGCATAAAGTTGATATGAGAACATTTTATCTCAAAATGGAATCAGTCTATTACACCTCTAAGATTTTCTCTTCTAGAAATAAGAAAATGTGGTAGTAAATCAAGGGATCAGAAATTTACAGTTTCTTGGATGGGTCATGTCACAGAGATGAATTAAGATGTGATGTTAGGAAAATCATTTGCCTATCTTAAGCTTATGATATTCTACTTTTTCTCGGGAGGGCATTTTTGGTTGGCTTGTTTTCCATGGGTTTCCATTGAAAGTATTTTCAGTTCAGATTACTAAATAAGGTTCTGGATCGTATACACAGTTGTTATAGTGACTCAATCCAAATTATCACTGGTTTTCTTTTTTATAAAAGGAATCTAAATATACTAAAAATGAGAAGTGTATAAAAAATTTCCAAATGGGTTTATCTCTACGTCACCAGCATTAAAACACTACTAGAAAGGGGTAGAAGCAACAGAGTAAGAAAAGCCTCTGGTGATTTGAAACACAGTTCAGTTGTCTCTCATAAATTTAAGATTAAGTGTCATATATGGGTGATAAAAGTGGCATAGGCTAGTTTTTATATACTCATTATTCACTTAGTTTGTCTTTTTCAATTAAAGCCAAGTCTATTTTTTTCATTCCACTGAGTTTACATTTCTTTTTCAATCACATACTGAACACATTATAATAGGTGCTGCCTAACAGCGAATATGGTGTAAATCTCAGACTAATGTGTTAGTCACTGTGGCTTCATTGAAAATGCATAGTAAAAAGATTTTGATTATCATAAGGTGCTGTTTATCACGAGCCATCTTTTAGCGTGAAAGATGTTCATCCCTATTCTTCAACAGCCCAGTTTTCTATCAAAATAAATCACTTAGCCTGCAAAACCAATTTTGATAATTTTGTCAGATGACTGGATTGTAAGACTCAGGTATGTTTTCTATGACAACTCCTTGCGCTTGTTCACATTTCTTCTTCCACATTTGAAAAGTCCACAGTTCAACTATAACCTGTAAAAGTGCTAAGTAATTAAGAAAAAGACATTGATTAGAGCGATCAATAACTTTTCAATTAGCCATTTTCCAACTTTGGGCATTTGGCTTCATTGATCTACATGTGCCCGGTTTAATTGATTTTTTTTTATGTTTTAAATGTTTTCAGCAGTAGGTGTTTGGTCAGACCACACCCCCCTCTAACAGAGAAGAAAAGCATGGCTTTTTGTTCTGGTGCCAGTTTAAGTTTGGCTGGGATTCTTACCACATTGAGTTTGGTGATAGCACCTCAGTCAGTGAATACAAACTGAAACCTGGCCCAATTCATAACATAGAGAAAGATATGGAATTAAGTAGTAAAGCCATTTGGGGTGTGGAATGATTGGTTTTACACTTATTTTATTGATCTGGGGCTGAGCAAATGGTAGTGGATTCAGTTCAATTCTTGCCTCCCTCTCCTATACAATTCAGCCATCACATAGGCTGTGTGTGTGTGTGTGTGTGTGTGTGCGCGCGCGCACGCTCATGCATGCATGCCCACTCAGGAAGATATTACATAGTTGGGAGCAGGCTGAAGATACCAGGTGTTACCTTTGTGACTTGTTTACAACCTGCAGCCTGGCAGCCCTAGTCCAGGCTGTTTGCTCTTGGAAGATGGTGAGGGCAGGTAGTCAAGCATCATTTCTTCAAGATTGGGAACCTGTGCTATGTACTCAGCTTCAAGAAGCCAACAGTTAATTTTATTGTTTGCAAGAATTTGAAAACGGTTCTAACATTGTGTGGTTTCACATTTTCACTGTGTGTGGAAGTTGGTAGGAAGCAGTTGTGTGTGTGTGTGTGTGTGTGTGTGTGTGTGTGTGTGTGTGTGTGTTAGGTACCTGTCCTAACCACTTGAGGACTCGAGGGGAAGCCGTGGTGGCAGTTTTTCTAGGGGGTCCATATGTACATAAAAAAGAGAATAAAGATAATTTGGAGTGCCCTTCCGTGGGTGCTTTGGTGTGTGCTAAGTGTTTGCCTCTTAGGGGCTGAGATGGCCATTGAGAGGTTCCCAGCTTAAACTGCTTGATGATTGCTGAGCCAAGATGTGGTGTCATCTTTTAATTCTGTTCTCAGACCACATTTATCTCTAGAGGAGTTGTATATCTGATCTTTTCAGAGGCCCTCTCCTCCAGACCTTTACATTTGTACCAGGAGGTGAGGTTTGCATCTAACAGTGTTGAGGTGTAACAAGAGCAAAACCATCGCCACGTTTCCATTTGCTGGGATAACTTTTTTCTCCGTAGCGACTTGGGGGCAGAGGCTGATGGAGATGGGGCTACTTCTGGGGGATGCCGGGGCGCCGACCCGCGGGGCGGCGGTGGGGGTGAGACCCGGTGCGTTGGGGGCACCCACGAACTGCCCCTGCTCCTCGCGGGCATGGTGGGTTCCCGCGTTTCTCCTCCCCCGTGGCGAGTGCGTGAGTGGAGAGCCCTCCTTCCGAGGAAAAGGAAATCTAACTCACCAGTCCAAGAGGCGAGGGAGGGGGCAGGCTGACCTTTTCTTGTCATCGAATTACGGCCGTTCTCCGCATTACAGGCAGTCTGGAGTCATTGAAATCTACATATTAACCGAGGGACACGACCCCTGAAGGAAGGTAGAAGAGGGCTACGGCGCTCGCTAGTTTACGGTTTGCAGGGCTATTCAGAGCACAATAAAAAGCTTCAAATCTCTTTTCCAACCAGCCAGAGGAGCGCTTGATTCGCCCAGGACTTTTATTGCTCGCTTTTGAAATATTACCCTGGCTCTGAGCTACAAAGCCGCAGACCAGTCCCATTTGTCTGGCGAAGGCGCTGCCCCAAACCCAGTGCTCCGAGCTCACTGCTCCGATGACGGGAACCCTGGGGTTTCAAACCTCCGAGTGTCGCGGATGGCAGAGCCCCAGTATCTCCCAGTAAAGCCCCAGTAACTTCCCAGGCTCGCTCTCTGCTCTGGGACCTGGCTCCAGGCCCCCAGCAGGTCCAGAGGGTCTCCTGTACCTGGGAAAGGCTGGTTTCGTTGGATTCGAAATAAATGGGCACATTGTGGATTTTAAGAAAGAACCCAGATTTCAAAAACTTGAAAGCCTAACCGAGTTCAGCGGGCACCAACAAACTAAGATTATTGCAGACATCGCTTCCACTATAAAGTTAACTTATTGTTAAAAAAAAGAAAGAAGAAAATAGCAAAGCAGTTTCTACACTTTCCATGTGTCTTTTGAGAAATATTTTTTAAAATCAATGTTTATTAAATTCTTTTAGTTGCCTTAAATTCGTTTTCTGGGATACGTTTAAGAATAAATACATTAAGACTACTCTAAAAATACAGATCTTTTCTCTTGTCCAACCTCTGAATCTCCTCCCCCCAGAAAAAACAAACAAATAACAACATAGATTTTCCCTGAAGTTTCACTCTCAACGAGTATTTCCTCATAAACCAGCAGGGATCCGTATTTAAAAAAATTTTTTTGGGGGGAGTGTTTGGAAACACTACATAGAGCACTGCAGCTTTTTATGTTTTCTGTTTTTATAGAAATGAAATGACCTTTTAAAGAAATAACTCTTGGGCTGTAATTCCTGCTGTTATTGCTTCCGGAGATAGAAAATAGATCCCGTTTATTTAAACTTGGATTGTATAATGAAAATGTAAAATAGGCAATTAAATACTCGTGGATGAGGGAATTGAAGACAAACACTGAGTGAAAATAACATTAAACAGACTCTTCCCCAATCATTGTGCCAGCAATTCTCACAAGTTCTGAGTCCCGTTGGAGAAGGACTCAGCAGTGGAGATGTCACTCCTTCCCTCATCCCACTTTCTCAGTAGATTTATTGTAACCATCTTAGAGAAGCCAATGATCTTTTCCATTTCAGCGAATATCTGGATGTCCAAAGATTGTTTACTCCTTTGGGTACAAAATTTAAAGTTTAAAGGAGAGCGCTTTTTAAAAAAATGTTTCATTATTTTCAACTCACTTTCGAAGTCTGGGTCTAATGTGCAGTGTGGTATTGGACTATGTCTCTATGCCCCTCTCTTCAAAAATATGGGCAGCTCAATGAAAGAGAAGCTGTAACAACACTTTGCTTTCATTTCATTTTGATACTTTTAACAGTAACTAAATTAGTCATTAATGAACCTGAAACCAGAAAGCTATTTAAAAAGTATATCAAGCTTAAATTTTAATTTTTTCACTTGTCATATTGATTTAGTGAAAAATTATCTTTACACATTTGTTGTGAATGTGTAGAAAAACAGTTTAATCAACTTTGTGCGTTGGATCAAGATATTTTTAATTTTAATCTAGAATTTAAAATTGACTACATTCTATCTCAAATACTAGGTTTTAAATTGTTAATTATAAGTACAGTTGAAAGACTATTGTACTGCTTTGAATGAATACATGTAATATTATTGTATGTTTTGATACCATCTTTTTATCAGTGTGAGTTAGGAGACAAAGTAGTTGAGTAAAAAGAAAGTAAAACATACACACATCTATTCAATACAGTCAGATGTATTTAACTTTTTTATGGTATAGTATTAGAGAAATCAAAGTGAGATTGGAAATTCTAAATATAAAATTAACTTAGAGTTGTACAATGTTTTAGGAAAAATAAGAATGAGGGCTATTATAAAATTATACCAGTAAGTATTTGTAGGAATTTTATACCAGAGAGAACTAGAAGACAGGAAAATTTAGAAGTTTACTAAAATTTAAAAAAGGAGGCTATGTTATGTGGAAATGTTATATGAGGCCATAGAAATCTTATTTTAGGTTACTATAGTTTGAAATAGTGGATGAATCTATTTTTGCCACTTCTTCCTTTATTTAAAGAAATATTTCAAGGTGGTGATACCAAGGCAGGAAGCTAGAGCTTACAAAACCACACAACTGATTATCTTTTTTATTGGAGGGTGGCTGGCCAGAGTGGGTGGGGCAGGTAGGAAGGAGGAGGGTTCAATTTGAGTATCTGCCTAGAAAAGGGGATTTATTTATTTTTTTCCTTTAAAGCTTTGAACATTGTGTACATCCAAAAAATGGATTACACTGGGAAAAACAGGCCCTTGCCAGAGACGTTAGCTTATATTGATATAATATTGTGAATGACCTGTTCATATAGGAACTTAGAAAATATTGTAAAATGATAGTAACACATGCATAAAAGGTCTGTGCCCGCCTTTAAATGAGAGAATTTGTTTTATGGTGCACCATAGTTTATTAAAACTTGTGTGCTTCTTCCTGGCTTAATGATGCCAAACATCCAAATAGCATTTGCTGTGCTAAGCATAAGTAGAGCATACAAATTTTATTAGCTAAGTGGTGAACAGATTTGTCCAACTTAGTTTTGAAACATACTTAACTGTTATGCTTTGGATTGATAAAGAACTGTAACAAATTGTACAGATATTAATACTTATGGGTAGAAACAATCATTGTCCTATTTGTCTCCAGAAAAAATGATTCTTTCTTATAATTTGTATCCTGTTTCTTATATTTCATGGTTTAGATGTTGAAACATTTGTAGCAGACATACTGAGAGGGGAAAATTTATCCAAGAAAGCAAAGGAGAAGAGAGAATCTCTTATTAAGAAGATAAAAGATGTGAAGTCTATGTAAGTGCCTTACTTGCCTTTTATTACTAATTTCTTACTTAGAAGCAACTTTGTAATTAACATTTCAATAAAGAATCGATTATCGTGGATTTAAAATTTTAATGTTTTAATTTAATTGCCATTAAGTATTTTTAAAGGACAAAATATATTTTCACTATAATAAATTTTAAAAATGTGTTTATCATAATATCTTTTTTTTGTGAAGTTTCTTGAGCATGTATTTTTCTAAGCATTCTAGCAAAATTCAACTGTTTCTTTTGATTAGTTCAGGATATATTTGGTTTAAATGATAATACATAGTTAGGTTGAAAATTTTAATGTAAATATGGAAAATAACCTCCAGATACTGAAATGAATAAATATAATATAAGTCATAGGTATTAAAGATAAATCCTGATTTTACTACTATAACTTAGGTCTTTAAAAATACTTATAAAGCCATAAACTTTTTGGAATTGTCATTTCAGGATAGGAAGCAGTTTTTTTCCCTAAATATATGTTTATAATATAGGTTTTAAAATAGATTTGAATTGCTGCCACTGATTGGACCTTATTTTGATTTGTTGCCCTCATTTTAAAATATAATGTTTTATTTTGCAGCTATCTTCAGGAATTTCAAGACAAAGGTAAATTTTCAAGTTTGTCAAACTTGATTTTTTTTTTCCTTGTGGAGATTTTTCAGTAGGATAATTTAACACGTATTGAAATGGGATCATTGGAATCAAAATTTAAATATCCCACTTGTGTACTTAGACTTTCAAGATGAGAGTGCTAGCTCCCCCTGCTGAGAAAAAAATTAAAAAGCATACCCAGAATCCACTCAGCACTGTCTTCTGATGAAGCAATCTTCTGTGTTTACCATTCTTAGGTTTTATGTTTCTTAGAGTACATTGTGGTAGAAATGTGTTAGGAAAGGCATATACTTGTGGTTACACATGGAGTAATTTGGTGAAGCAGAGATGAGATACCAGCCCAATGCCATTTAGCACTGCAGAGATTTTATAGTAATGATGGGAGCCGGGGGCCCTGTGGCTGGGTGCTCCTTGGTAATGTTTCTAAAGGATAGTCGTTTTAAAAGCAGGATCAATTTTTGTCTGAGAACATGAGTAAAATATTTTTCGTGTGCTGGTTTTTATCACCCGTGTGATTCTTCTGATACAGATAAGTGTATGTCATAGAAATGCTCAGTTTAGTTTTTTGTTGAACTGTGTGAGAGTGCTGGTCGCCTGATTGTCTCCCTTTAGGTTCGAGAGGCAGCTGCGTAGTGTACTGAAAACCACATCAGGAAAGGCGTAGGAAGTTCCTACTATTTCATGTCTTCAGTTCTGTAAGGGAAACTGGGGATGGCCCTTACTTCCCTGATGCTAATTCATAGGTCGTGACCTGAATCCTGTGAATGCCCGTATGAGGGTCACAACATGAGGTCAGTTAACCTATGTGGAGCTAGGATCTGGATTTGGGGGAAAACAGTATGGCGTCTTCTCACTGGGGCTAGCAGATACCACAGAGCAATTAATTTCTCTGCCAGCTGATAAGCGAGAGAGTAATGACAGTTTCAATAAACCAAGTACTTAGCCAGACAAGCCTAAAATCAAACAGTTCAAAGGAAACCACAGTTTCTTTTTACGTTAAATCATCAAGATCATTGTGATTGGAGGGAATGAGAAGTTTTTTTTTTCCATGTTAATCTTTTTAACACTGTTAAATCCAGAGCAGAGCAGGAAACTCCTCCCCACGAATACCCACTTCTTTATACCGTATGATGAACTCTCAACTGTGGGATTAATCATGTTGCATTTTGCTTAGTTGAATATAGAAATAATGAATTTATACATTTTAATTATGATAACTTCTGTACAGTGCACTGTTTATAGAGGAATATTAGATTCCGCCTCTCTTCTTAAAAGGCACATTTTGTCCCAGTGATTATTTATCCAACTTGCATTGTGACTTAATTATTTATACATTAAACAGTGTTAAGCTAAGAAAGCATGATAATATAAAGTCATTGTATGATTGCATACGATTCAGTAATAGGGTAGGAACTTTCCCTTTGGTGCTCTGGTTTAGGACTGGTTCAGGTGTGTGGATATTAAAATTACATTACTGAGATACATTCTTTGTCTCTAAAGAAAATGGAAATTTGTATAGTATTTGATAGAAATTGAAAAATGAGCCTAGACTAGGAGTTCAAATAGCACAGAATTCAGAGATTCCCCATAATAATTTTCCTCTGAAGAAGTCATTTGTAGTTCAATACTGCTGTACTGCGTTAACTAATCACCAAGGGTGCCTGCTCCACAGTAAGCCTGTGGATAAATGAGATGTATACCTTGGAGAAATATGAGAAGCTGAGTAATTTTATGCCATTTTACTCTCAAAGCTTTGTTCTAAAAGGACCGTTCCTGTAGTTCGTTAGGAATAGGGAAGGGAATTTACTGCACACTTAATAGTTGCAAATTATTAAAGATTACATCTTTTTTCAAAAATGGGAATTTATTAGTGATCAGATTCTACGTTGAGTAAATTCAGTGCATCTATTTATGTTTTGATAGTACTGCTTTTCTTTTCTTTCTTTTTTTTTTCGTACATTTTCCTCTTGGGTTTTGGATCTTCTGCATCCAAGGAGACCTGGGCAGATTCCTTTTGGCTGCTGTTCTCTCTCTCTCTCTCTCTCTCTCTCTCTCTCTCTCTCTCTCTCTCTCTCTCAGGTCAATATGGGGTCACAATGAAGTAAACAGAGGCTGTTTTCCTCCTTTTTACCTTTGGATTCCTTTTTGTTTTACATACTTTTTTTTCCCCTCCAAATGATAGTTAAGTACCATCTTAATATCATTATTGGGAGACAACTACTTTGTCTCCTAACTCACACTGATAAAAATAAATATCATTATTGGGAGGACCAGGTAGAGAGTTCTTAAATAAAGTGAGTTAATTTAGATTTATTCATTTCTATTAAGCAAGTTATTAAGTTTCTCTAAGGTACACAGCTGTCTATTATCCTTTTTTATTTCCCTCCCATATCTCCTCGTCCCTTATGCTGTAGATACTACCCCCCGTCGTGAGACTGAACAATACAGAATTTACAGTTGGAAGTATTTCAATTCTTAAAATTATTTGAATTGATACATTTGTTGAAACACTAAACTGCATAGAACTTAGAAGATTTATTTTTTAATTTCTATCGTTTTTTTTTAGTTGAGAATAGTTTGTATTGGTAGAAACTTATTTTATTACGGTGGCTTCTAGATATTGAAGCTTGTCCATTAAGTTAATTTTCTACTCGCTATTTATATTCATTTCCACAGCAAGCTGTGGTCTTAATACTCCCCTTTTCATTTCTTTAATTTCTTAAGGTTTTCATTTTATCTCTTCATAGCCTCAAGTCTAGATTCTCCATGGAGGAGGTCTGACAAATTGTGACTTTAGAATAAATGATCAGTTGGCTTTCTAAATTCTTTAGTTTTGCTTGTACCTAAGAAAAATTTGAATCTAACCAACTAGAACTCATCTTGCTAGTCTAGTCCCTGTCATTCATTTGAAATATTGCCTATTTAGAATAGAGAGTTCCTTCTTACATCCTTCAAATATTGTACTTGACAGACTATCAAACCCTAGTTTCCTATTCTTAGTTGCCATACAGTTTAGTAATGTAAAGTATTCCTGAATATATAATGAGTTGTGCTCATTTTAGAATAATTTTAGAATAGAATTATGATTATTTTAGAATTTGTTCTCTGTCACATAATAAAGTCATAGGTCTCTTAAATGTGACTTGAAAGAATTATTTTTGTAATGAAAATATATTACTAATTGAATAAAGACTGTTATTGACTGAGTATAAAATAGAATTTTCTAATATACAGAGGATGCCAAAAAAATGTATACACAGTTTAAGAAAGGAAAACTGTATTAATATTGTAATACTCAATATATACTGATAACAAAAGATGAATACAAGTCATATCTGACTTCTGCAATTACAAGAGGTGCTCAGAGTGGTTCCCATCAGCGTCCAGACACTTCTGATTATGCTGAACTACTGCTTGAGCAATGTTGACCAAAGTGTCCACTTGTATATATTTTTTTGGCACCCCTGGTATATTAGGCACATGATAAACAAACTTTACTTGTAGTTGTATCTTGCTCTTATAATAGTCTTGTTTTACTCAGTGATGATTTAAGTATGATTATTTCCTTTAGAGGATGATTAAGATAATGTGAAGATACCTATGCATGATACATAATAGGTATTCAATAAATATTATATTAATCTGTATTCTCAGATTCAACTTCATTTATCAAGAGAATTTAAGTAAATCTTGACTTATAATTTAGTTTTCAAATATTTTTTGAGGACATTATAAATTTTTTTTTTTAATTTAATTTTTTTATTGTTAGTTTCAGGTGTACAGAACAATGCAATAGTTACCCTTTTCACCCTCACAAAGTGACAACCCTCCTCCCCCCAGAGGACATTATAAATTGTTAAAAGAAGGACATACATATAAACACGAGACAAATATTTCAAGAGAATATTTTTCAAATTTGTAAAATATTGGTGCCTCCAGCTTTAAAAAAAGTGAATATATTGCTTTCAATTCCCTTTAGATGCCATAGCTAAAAAGCTTTCATTTTCTCCTTTAAAATATTTTCCTCTAATTAAAAAAATTCAATAATTTTTTTTCCTTAAGACCCATTGATATTGTTAAATATGCATAGATTTACTTAGAAAGCAGTTTCCTTTGACCTCATTTGTATTATTAAGTTTATTAATGGACTAAATTACTTTTTAAAATAGCAGGATGGTTAGGTAAGAAGGGACCCATTTTAGCTTGTTCTGATGGAATCCTTAAGAACAGCAGAAAAGTCAGAAGTTTGTATGACATTTAATTTCCTTTCCTTTCCCCTTCCTAACATAGTATGTAATGTTGAAAGTTAGCGCCCCAATGAAATCTGAGCAGATAACTTGTATCTCCCCACCACCCCCGCACCCATCCCTCTCATCCCTGGCTTTATGTGTTAAGCATGTTCAAAATGATGGGGCCTGTAATATTAGAAGTACATGTCACAGGTAGTGCTTGAGAAATGGTATCCTTATTTTAAAACTCTGCCTCATATTTATACACAATAAATTAGTGTCCCTATGGTAGAAGAGTTATGAAGAGACTCTTCTTATTTGTGGTGAATAAATCTTTCCAAGTTTTAGAATTAAACTACAAGTTCCCTTAAGAAATGACATAAAGTACAGCATAGGGAATATAGTCAATAATATTGTAATAACTATGTATGGTGCCAGGTGGGTGCTAGACTAATTGGGGGGATCACTTCGTAAATTATATAAATGTCTAACCACTATGCTGTACACCTGAAACTAATATAAAATAATATTGAATGTCAACTGTAATTGAAAAATAAAAAAAGGGTGGAGGAAAGAAATGACAAGTTAAATGCTTGTCTTATTTAGTTGTGTATTATTACTTGAGAAATTAGTTTGGACAAATGAACTGAGTGGAAAATTAGAAATTAATTTGTTTTCACTCAAGTAATTCTCCCCCACCCCAAGTTTGCCTTTCATGCTCTCGTAAGAGACAATGATTATCATTTAAATTTTAGGTATATTATTCAGTTTAGTGATTACCTGGTTGTGTTTAAAATAGGGCTGTATTTGGCAAAACAAGCAGTAAATTGGTTAAATCAACTTCAATGGTGGTAGAAGTCATGACTGTTGAGTTGACTCTAGGCATTTAGGAAAATCTCACTAATTAATGATGAGCCATATAAAACAGGAGAGATCTTAGTGATTTGACCCAAGTATTATAAATTAAAAATGTTTTTCAGAGAAATATGCTGCTATGGTACGATTAAGCCTTGGTTTTGCTGTGATACTTAAGTTGCCACTGAATATGGGAAGGGAAGTCTTGGATCATTGTTTTTTAGACTGTTAACTTTGTATCGTTAATTAAACTTTTGAAAGTTGTAGGATAAATCAAATGCTTTTCTAGGGAAACAAGAAACAGTATTAATGAGCGACAACCCCATAATTATCCTTGTGAGTACATAACAGGGACACATTCATGTCTTTTCTCTGCGCAATAACTTTTACAAAGAAGTATTTTTAAACTGATCATTAATTTTATGACCACAGAAATGAGATGCAAAATTTATGCTGTTGTCATTGGCACAGGCTCAAGGCACCACTGACATTATGTGTGATTGTAATAGAATGGCTGCCAACTAATGATTCTGTAGACATTTCATTTGAGCATGCTTTTCCTCTAGATGTCTGATTAGGCTGTAATGCTTTCAATTATGCCTGTAAATTGTATTGGATACGTTTACCTGATGCCCATCGTTGCTTTGGAGTTCAGTTTTCTATTACATAAACACAAGTTGAACATTTTCCTTTTAATTTATAGAAGTCTTTGCAGGTATAGCTGCAAATACTCAGCCCCTGGGGAGAAAAAATGCCTTGCACTACTCAACAGCGACCCCTGTGTTCAATTAAAGTTCCTTATACTACAGCAGCTCTTTAATGAGTTGAAAAAACTAATTAGGGTGAGGGAAAAGGGACGGATCATCACTGGAACAAGAGTAAAAGGATGAAGGCCATTTTGAAAAATGATGTGTCCTTTCAACTTAATGCAGGTGAAAACGGGAATAACTGTACATACACCACAGAGATTCTTATTCTTTACTTTCTCATTCAAAGAAAGCTTGAAAAAAAAAAAGGAAAAAATGAGTTTAGTAGCAGTACTTATTTTGTCTTAGATAAATATAAATACCATACTGATTGTTTTATAAAACATTTCAAATGAGCTGCAGGTCTTAGAATGGAAAAGTTGAAGACAATTTCACCTTACTATGTATAATTCAAACTTTTTTTAAACAAAAACCACAGAGGTTTTTAACATCTGGGTGACCAATTTGTGTAGAATATTCATAACTGAAATATTATTGAATTTATAGATTTAATAATGATCTTTTTTTGCTGTGTGTGTACATGTATAAATATAGATTGATGTGTACATGTGTGTATACACATGGACGTACATATCAAATATATAGTAGATATTATCAAAGGATAACAAATTCTGATTTTCAAAACTTTTTAAGTTTTGATTTTTTTCTGCTTGTTTCCACATAGAGCTTAATAGATTTAAGCCTGAACATTTGAATATTTTTCAAAATTTTTTCCATATAACCATTGGTTTTATTGTATTTTTATATTCATAATAGTGTAATATGCTAAGTGCTAAGTTCTGGTGATGTATTTCAAATATCCTAATACTTTTATTTTCCCAGCAAGATTTATAGTTCATAATATGAAATATTCTTAGAAAATTCACATCATAAAAATCCTTACTTTATTAAGAATATAAGGATACTCTTGCAAATAGGAGCACTTAAGAATTTTGTGATCTTTCCAACTGCATATCCCATGAGCTATCATTTTATGTTTAAACATATTTTTACTAGCACTTTATGACTTTCTCTCTTACCTCATGTTTTTCGAAATCAGAGCACTGTTCTTTCTATAAGAGAAATATTGTAAGGGATCACTGAATGTTCTGAAAAGTACTTTGAATATCTCATAAAAAAGAGAAACTAAGATATGAAGAATGAGTAGTATATGTATGTGTTCCTTGAAATTTTAGTTGGGGAAGAAACGTCACCACATATGGTGCACCCAGTGGTGGAATCACTAGGCACAGTAAGATAGTCATCTCTATATTTCGTTCTTATTGTCTTCATTGGAGATGTTCCTATCTTTATTTTCAGGATAAGGGTGACAAATGCTGATGAAATATCACAATTATAAGGAAATAGAGATGAATGTTGATTTTTTTTTTTGTTACTTTGACAGTGTTGTCTTGAAAGAGGCTATTTCCTCTACCGAAAATATGGTGAAAAATAGGGTGCTATCCATCAAATGGATGGATGTCAGAGAATACAGATATACTTTCGGAGAGATGAGTAGCTTTAATCTGGACCTGCTCAGCAGCTATGGTCTCAAAGTATTACTGTAGGTACCCTAGGGTTCTCATGGAGATTTTCACCATGCTTTTCGGGTGACCCCTAAGGTGGTTGGTTTTCTTTTGAATTGTTACCAGGTAACAGGAATTAACAGATAATTGATGTAGTATTAAATATACATACCTTCTTTGCTGTTGAATATGGGTGAAAAATGAGTGCTTATATATAACTGGGTTAGCAAATATCTGATTCATTCTTTTTAAAATAATTATTCTAAATGAGTATGTGGGGAAAACCCAAACCACAAGGTTTAATTGTGGGGATTAAATGACTTCAACCAACCAACCAACCAACCAACCAACCAACCAACCAACCAACCACCAATCAATCAAGCTGGGATTAGAAAATCATGTAGAAAACGGGCTAGAACATTTTTAGTAGATTAAAAATCTCAGTTGCATTTTCAAGAGCAGGAATCCTTTATGAGAAAAGCTGCCTTAAAACTCATATAAACCTTTTAAATTCAAACAGGGTTATTTACAAACTAGACACCTTCAGTTTTCATTCAGTGATACGTTACCATTTTTTTAAATCTGCTCTAATGTTATCCTGTGATTTTTAATGAAAACATAAAATGTTCATACGGCTTTGAATTATAAATTTCTCATCATAATTTTTCAAATATTGAGTAGGTAAATGGTAGGCAAATTGAATTATTTTCTCTGTTGTGCTTTTCGTGTTTTTTTTTTTGTCATTACTTTGGTTTCATTTGTTTATTCATTTATTTTGGATACACTCTCTGTTTTACCTTGCTTCTACTTTTTTGTATTCATCTTTATAGAGAACATCATAATTTTGGAACTTGTATCCTTTAATACTAAAAATAAGCAGTTGTATACTGTCCTTCAAAAACTCTAACTTTATCTAAATTACAGTGGCTATCCATTAAAATAGGACCTGTTTTTTTTTAGTTTAAAATGTTTTCTTTGTTTTTCCATGACAGTGACTGAATTTATCATAATAGGAAAATTGACCTCTTCCGACACAGTAACATTTTTTTAAGATGGCTAAATTATAAAAGGCTTTCCTCTGATTCTCTTATAGGCGATGCAGAAGATGGAGACGATGATGACCCTTTTGCTGGACCTCCAGATACTATTTCATTAGCCTCAGAAAGATACGATAAAGATGATGAAGCCCCCTCTGATGGTATGTGATATTTTTCCATAGAATATACTTCTTGACACTCGAACACAAAACAACGCAGTGTGTAGAGATGGTGGTCTTGTCAGAAAGCTGATAAATGCAGAAGCTTCAGTTAACTTATCTGTAAGGAACAGAAGAGCTCTCTCTAGTGGTTTTCCTAAGTATGTAGTTCCTTCTTTTCCTGGGAAATTTTCTTCACTAGAATTTTTAGAAGAGTGCTTGCATCATTGCATGAATAGTATTAGTAAATTTGTTGGTTAATTTAATATTATCAGATTTGTGCTTAATTTTATTATGCTGCTAATGGCTTGTTGTATTATTTATTTTATAAATAATGAACAAGGTTTTTGATCTCCTTTTTCCTGAAAACTTCATCTATAATGAGTTCATAAAATATTAAATCAATTATGCCTACGTTGCCTTCTCACATTGAGACAGGTTTTCATCAACTGCTTCTTTTAATCCACATTTTCATTTTTCTGATTGTCACCTAAAAATGCCCCACATTATGCAGTAACGTTATAGTGCTTTGTATTAATTGAATTAGCCATAAAGTTGATTGTTTATCTCTTAGTAGTAATGTTTAAAAACTTGGCCAAAATTATGAAACTGGTTTTTAGTGTAGCATGTGCTTTCCCTGTTATAGCTCGTTGAGTGCATCTTGCATTATAGAGACCTCGTAAGGGTGATAAGTAGTTATAAACTAAGAATGTGTATCGATAAATTAGCCATGCATATTAATTTGTGGCACTCAAAGTTTCACACAGACATAGAAATGAGTTACGCCTTCTGCCACTATATGATGATCAGGCTGTGCAGCTCCATCTCTAAATACAATCGCTGAATGAAAATATGCTTCCTGCAACAGAGCACTCCACATTTTATGTTATCCAGATTATTCCCTTTGGAAACATAAATTGCTTTTATGAGGTATAAAATTATGTCTATTGCGGAACAGGGATAAGTCAAGTACATGCATAAGTGATAAACACCCTAACCACTGAGTCAGAACAACACAATCTTTTCCTTCACATTCAGAACTTCATACAGTGTGTAGTCATAACAGTCCATATCCATTTTATGTTGAATTTTACATTTTGACAAACATTTAATTTCTGTTTTTAAAGAGATTTCTTTCTCTTATGTTTCCTATCTACTTTTTTTTTTTTTTTAAAAAGGTGTGCATTTCTCTTCAGTCATACTTACTACCCGAAACAGAGCATTGCCCTTTCCTAAGGTGATCTTCAAAAGCATTTCTGCTAGAGAAATATTTTATAAATGATGAAATGATATTCTCAGGCAAAACACTGAATTATGATATGACTTGAACTATTTTTCAGACACATTGCAATGATTTGTTTTGCTTCTCTGTAAAATGTTAGTAGGTAGAAATGGGTATGTGTGTATGTATACATAGATAGAGACAGAATATTTATACTCAGGAGGATATACATACACACATACACACATACACACCTGGAGTATATTTATAGAAAAAAAATATGTATATACACTCAGGGTTTCTCAAAATAGCATAAATATTTTGATGTACAAGGGTTCATTACGGGCATTAAAAAAAAATTAAACCTAAGAAATCCAACAATTAAATATCTATGGGAGCCAGTGCTTTGTTAGAAAAAGTGAATTGTTATTGAATTATATTGTATTTGCATGATTATTGTGTTTTCTTTTTTATGAATAAATTATTTATGTGTTTATTTTCATAACCAGATATACAGGGAGTACATTAATAGCATGAGAAATATTTATTGCTAAAAGGTTACTTTATCAATATTTCAATATTATTTAATAACATTTATGTATAACATTAATTTTTTGTTAAATATTGGTGCATTTTCATTAGTGTTTAAGCAATTCTTAAGCAGATTTAAAATTTCTCTTTCAGTATTATTCATTCTTGATATATAAATGATACAATTTTTGATAGTTTTACATTTTCTTCTAAGAACATTATAAATTAATTTTAAAACTACCACTTGGACTTTTAATTCCCACTCTGGTCATCTCAGTTTTTCTCCCTGCGACTTAGAATTTGTATACATTCACTTTCCTTTGCTGAATAAATTTTCCCTCATTACGTGACCTCCCAGTCTAATGATATATTAATTATAAAAAGATAATGCATTTAACAATAAGTGTAACTAAATTAGCACAGGTCACCCAAAGGCCTTTTGTCAAATCAGATTGTTGTTTTGTCCTTTTGACTTTTACCTTATGGTAGGCACTAACAAAGTATCTGGACTCTGATGGATTATAAACTCTAAACATGATATGTATTTTTCATAATGTTAATGTAATTTCCAAGGTACCAAAAAGGTCAAACCCGCACATCTCTGTGTGCATTTTGAGTCTGCCTTTTCCTTTAATATTTCTTTTTCTCTGTTCCTCTGGTTCAAAAGTTCACTCAGTTCCCAAATGGCTACCTAATTTTCCAGTTATTCCCTCAAGCCATATGTGTTTTGGTTTCTTTATGGTTTATTAGGTACTGTAGGAAAGTAGCATAAGTTATATCTTCTAATGAAATTCAAGCACACTTCAGTGATGCTTCGACTTGATTGCTGGTAGCAATTAAATCAGAGCCAAGGAGAATAATGCATAATCTCACAAGGTCCAGACATCCTATAGAAACTGAAAGGGGATGAAAACAGAAAACAAAAACAAAGTCTCCCAACCCTGCCAGACACGCTGTTTCCAGCCTGCCTTTTTTTTTTTTTTATTGGCCAACTGCCTGATTGATAGCAAAATCATAACTTGCTGCATGCTAACAGGCAGAGTTCACTTGTAGGTTATTGTGAGCTGATAAAGGGTTAGATGGAGTTTTGATTTTCGCATTGGACCTTGGTACACCAGATTAATGGAATTTCAATGAGAGGCTAGAGTAGCCACAGCTTTGTCAGAGAAACAGATGGAGATTCTATAGTCATGTCTACTCATTAATACTAGTTGCCTGAAAGGTGTGCTGCTTCTCTATACAAAAGAGTTGATATAATTGATTTTTGAGTGGTGCATTGAAAAAAAGCACCTTATTGATGACTAGAATTGTAACATTGATGATGACAGATTTTTGTACAGTTTGTAACTTAAAAAATACTGTACATTGTAATTTTTCTCTCTCTCTTTGGACATGTTTTTTATTTTTATTTTTTGAGGAGAAATACATTTTAAGACCAATGGCAAAAAAAGGAGAAAATGACACATTAAATTACCTTTTAAGAAAAAGAGTAAGAGTCTGTATTTTATTTATAAATGATTGCATGTCTGCTGTTAGTTTCATTTTGATGTGGTAATGGTTATTTAAAAAATCATACTTATTAGAAATTTCATTATATTAGCTTTGTGCTTTATCTTTTTTCTGGAAAATTTAAAACAAATCAGAATGAGTTCTAGACTATTATAGATTAGTGTTAGAAGTTTTATGCTATTGTGTGTTTGGATATATTGAAGTGTTAATATAAATGGTATATGTCAGTAATCAGATAAAATTAGAGATAGCTGAAACTTAAAACCTTAAAGAAGAAAATCCCTTTTCGTACACGCTAGAGTGTTTGGGCACTAAGGTGGGAGATGCAGGGTAGCCTTTAGACTCTGTATAATGATTTGGGTTTCCATTTTTCTATTCTGAAATCATTTTTCATTCATTTTCATCATTTGTGGAAGAAAGCTTCTAACCATATAGCATTGTGGAAAGTCCCTGAGGTGAGGTGAAAGGATTTAGTGAGCTAGAAGACATATCGGTTTTGCCCGTCGATGATAGGTCGAAGGATCCCAGTGGACATTTGCTACAAATCTGATTCAGTCCTAGAGCATAATCACTTTGTGGATAAGAATCTGGAACCTCTAGGGTGTGAATAGGAAGGCTAAAATGAAGCTAAAGAGATAAAACAGTCATTTATTGTCCTGATATCTTCCTAACTAAAAATTCCCAAGTAACACAGGTTACTGAAAACTGTGGGCATTGCAAGGACATAGGTTTATATGAAAAAATATTGATTTAGGAATGGAACTATTTTTTATAACTTGGAGATGAAGGAAAAAGACTCTTTTGATCATAGTTTATAATAGTAAGTAATGATTTTCTTCTTTTTTTGGTATACTTTTCTTTAAGAAAATCCAGTGTATGAAAATTTGGATTTATAAAACATATAAATCACTTATTTCAAAGGATTGCTTTGAAAAAGATTATCTCTAGGATGTGTATAAATAATGAACTCTCACAATGCATCTGAAACGAGCTTCGCAATACACCCATCTGTGTGGACACACATAAATTTAATGTGTAAATTTTGACACGTTACACATCAAACTTTTGAGTAAGATATTTTTTTGTGTGTGTAAAATTAGGTGTAGCACTAATCCAGAAGAATATGAAACAATGTTTAAAACCAGGCCAAAAAAAAAAAAAAGTTTCTTGCAATAACTTACCATGTAGGATAAGTGTTTTTCTACAATAGTATCAAATGGTTTTTGATACTTAAAATCCTATTTTTGTATTTTGTTCTGAGAATTTAGATTACTTTGCAACTTGCACATATCTTTGTGTTTATAGCATATATCATTGTTGCACTTGTGTTTTTTTTTTAACTTTTTCTGTTATTTCAGTATATCAATTACTAGCTTGTATGTGTTATAGCAGTATAAGAACAATGATTTCTTTAGTTTTGTAATATATGTGGCATAGCTTCAAGTACTTTGGTAGAAGTATGTTTGTGTGTGGGGGTTATAGTTTGGGGAAAATGATAAAAAGTAAAAGACAGGTTTTTAACACTCAAGATATATGCTGTTTGGAGATATAAAGTACACAGATGTGAAATATTTTTATGCTGCAAAGCTATATATGAATAAGTAATAACACGTAGCCATTGAGAATCATCTTTCTAAGTTTTATGCCGTTGAATGGGAAAAATGTATCAGAATAAAACAGTGTGGGCAAGTGAGTATAACAAAGATTAGATGAGAAATATTGCAAAGGTAATGAAACTCAA